AAGATTTTATTTATTTATTTGACAGAGAGACACAGCGAGAGAGGGAACACAAGCAGGGGGAGGGGGAGAGGGAGAAGCAGGCTTCCCATGGAGCAGGGAGCCCAATGCGGGGCTCCATCCCAGGACCCTGGGATCATGACCTGAGCCGAAGGCAGATGCTTAACAATTGAGCCACCCAGGTGCCCCATTATTTTTTTTATTTTTAAGATTTATTTATTTGAGAGCGAGAGAGAGAGCAAGCTGGGGTGAGGGGCAGAGGAAAAGAGAGAATCCTGAAGCCGACTTCCTGCTGAGTGTGGAGTCTGACATGGGGCTCAATCCCAGTACCCTGAAATCATGATCTGAGCTGAAATCAAGTTAGCTGCTTAACCAACTGAGCCACCCAGGCGCCCCAAGAGATGAGTAGTTTCTAATAAGTTTATTTACCTGACTATGTTCTATAATACCCATTTAACAGACTTTTGTGTTAGGAAACTTAAATAATTCAACAAAAGATTCTTAGAGAAAAAGACTTCATGTGTGAGTAAATTACATTCTTAGCTGATGTTTTCTGGCATCCATATTATAATATATATTGAGATCTAGTTAATATATGATACTACATTTTATGTGCTACAGTTCAAATTAAACAGTCTTTACCCTCAAGGGGAGCAGAGAAAGTTACCCATTATTAAATATGTTACTTTTTTCCTGAGCAAAACTTCACAAATATATATGTTGGGGTTCTGAGCTCAGTGACTCCCTGGGGGGCAATTTGGTATAACACAGTAAATTGTAATTCTGTCAGTTATGGGTCATCCACCACAATCTAGAAATTTCCTCTTCTGTAGGTTAAATGTTAATCTTTAACAAAATTACATCTTTCTGAGTCATATTTTCCTCTGTTACCAAGTAATTTCTAGGTATTTAGTTTGATTTTGGGAAAGGACTATTGTACTTTTTGATCACAATGGGGCAATTTTGTAGCATATCATAGTGCCTTGGTAACTGACTGGCTGGATCTATATGTGAAATAATTCTCCGTTCCCTGCAGTTGTAGAATAGCCTCAAATGCATTATTTTATATATGGCTTAAAAAAAAATCCCAAAGCCATTAAAACCTTTTATTTATATTGCTTTGAGTTTTCAGATTCATATAATGGGTGTGATTAGTTGAACCATTTTAATCTTCATTCCAAAGACGAGGCTTATGTTGCAGGAGTATAATTCCTTTCTCATTTCTTTAACCAATGACAAATGCATATTTATTCTGCACTTGTTTTTTATTTTCCAAACCTGGTCAAATTGCCCTAGTTAAAATAAAGTACACTGATCAGTGAACAGGAAGCCAATGCAGATGATATATTGGTGAGAGTCTTCCACTGGTCCTCTGATGCTTCTACCTGATGTAACATTTTAGTAGTTTAGGCCTTAATAACATGACTTGCCAGTACAGATTTTCAGTACTGGTAAGATATCTGGTTACAATGTTAGAAAACATCCTATTAAGTGATTATCATTTACTCCTCATCATGGAAAATTGGTGAGGTGTGCTGACTTACTTTGTTATTCTTTAAGAAAATCAATTCAGTCTGCAAATTATGTGAGTGCCCGCTACGACATATCACTATACTAGACAGCATATGAAAAGGCAAAGATGTAATTCACAGTTGCTGTTACAGAAATATGTGTTAACAGTGGTTTTACTTCAGCAGGCCCCAAACCCGAAAAGGTGAAAGATACGGGCAAAGGCGCTTCACTCACTAATACTGCAGATGTGTTGAAAAAAATCGAGGTAAGGTTTTCTTCTTGCTATACGAGCAAGCTGAAAAAGCGTCATGCCTCCTTTCACCTTCTTCAGTCTTTCCACCTTCTCTCACTTTTGATAATATGTGGATTTGGCAGAACCAAGCCCAGCACACAGGGTACCTGGAAAGATTTGAACATTGTTGGCTGGGAGATAAAGAACCTCCATCCTGTCCTTCTTCACCACTTACCTGTCAACTTACCTTACCCTCTGTCACCTACTTCCTTTTCCATGTATCGCTACTTTCCCCTTACATTGGAATTATGTATGGGAAAGAAACACGAAAGAGTTACATACCAAAAATGTATTTCTTTTAAAAAACCTCTCATTTTTTTCCTATTATTATACATGTGCTTTTTTAGTGCTTTTTTTTCTGTCTCATGGTATGTGTAGAAGATTCTATTGAGAAAAAAGCACATCTTACAGAACTACTTTTATACCTTCATTGTTTTTAATATTTCAAAAATAGAAAGATAAAAAATCCAAAATGTTAATAAACTAAAAATTTGCCCTCCCATCCCTCTCCCTAACCATCCAGTTTCCCTCTTGTAGACAACCAGCATTACCAGTTTCTTATAGCTAGATCTTTCAGAAATATTTTATGCATAACAAATAACAGGTTTTTTTCTTTTTAATGACAAAAGCTAGCATATTACATTCTTCTGCATTTTCATTTTATCACTTATAATCAATGGAGATGGCTCTATGTCAGTCTATAGAGTTTGCCTCATTCTTTTTTTTTTCTTTTTTTCCTTTTTTGGCTGCACTTTAAGAATGAACCATAATTTATTTAACCAGTACCCTATTGATGGACCTAATGTTTCATCTAGAATTTTGCTATTATAAACAGTGCTGGAGTGAATTCATATTAAGTATGCCATTTTACACCTATAGAGTAGATTTCTTGAAGTGGATTTCTTGGGTCAGTTGTTATATGTATTAGATAATATGGATAGATATTGACAGATCACTCTCCACGGAAGTTATGCCAATTTATTCCCACTGTCCATGCATATGTTACCTTGCCTTGATGGTAATGATAACGATGATAATGATAACAGCTAGCACTTATTGAGAACTTACTATGTACCAGGCTCTTCGATGAAAGCTATTTACATACATTATGTCCTGAAGACTTCATAACAGCAAAGAGAGATGGGTAATATTTTTCCTTACTTACAGATAAGGAGGTCAAGGCTTTAAAATTTTTACTTGCCTGGTCAAGTTGGCATTGCCATGTGATAACAGAAACTCATATTTTTGTTATTTTATTTTTTGGCTGGTACTTGAGCTGGAGATAACATATCTGAAAATAATGCCAGGAGGATATTGAAGGAATAGTGATAACTGTCAGTTTAACTGTGGTGGGATGATGGATGGGGTTGCAGAACTAGCCAACTTGTATTGATTGAACACAGATTCTGACTCTTCTTAAGCTTCCTGGAAAGAGGTTGCTAAGATGACATATGCTATAAGGAAGATTGATCAGAATATGGTTTCTCATCAGAACAAATTGTGTTTCCCGATTTTCTACATTTAAACACCTTTTTCATTTTGCACATTGTTAAAATTGAAGTTTTAAATCTGGAACTCTAAATGAGTTCGCTTTATTATCTCTCAGTTAAAGAGCAAAATTAGCTTCTGGATGTCTCAGTTATTGTTCATTTCTTCACCAAAAGTAGTTGTAAGTTTTATTATAATAAAACTTCTGTGGATGGAGAGGAAGTAACAGTCAAATCTCATGATTAATGTGTGAATAATCAGACAGCAGTAAACTAATATTTGAGCCTATGTCTGCTTGACTTACAGGAAGCTCTTTCTATAGGTTAGCTGCATATTATTTAAACTGGAAGAACTATTCCCTCTCTATAACTTAACTGTTTGCAAAGTGTTTTCACATCGTGTTAATCACATTATTCTTAAAACAAATCTGTAAGGTAGTAGTAAATAGTTAAATCTCACAGAGGAGAAAATGGAGACTAGTAAGTAGACAAACCAAAACTAGTAGCTTAGCGCAAAAAGAAAAAAGTAATGAGACAATGTGTGTGGCTCTGTGATCATTTTTTTTAATTGCATAAATCTACTATAGGTAACCGATTTAAGTATTTTATGGGCTTGATTTAGGTCTATGTGATACAAATAAAGTTGTTACTTTTTAAAAAATATTCAAGGTTACAGTAATGGATATAAAGACTTTCCTAGTCCTACAGAGCAGTGAATGGTTTTTATATTTTGAAAACATGTTCCATAGTTGGTTTAAATATGTTTATTGCTAATTATGAAATAATAGCTAATAGCAGGATTTTTCAGATATAGTATATACCCTGCACAGAGTTTAGTAAGTATAGCACTGCAATTCCCTTTTAACTACACAAAATTTATGGGTTGTAAGCCTCTTTACTGCAATTTGATTAAAGTAGAAAAGAAAAAACTCCATGTTAATGTCAACATAGCATCATTATATGTGGGTGTGTGTGTGTGTGTTTATAGACACTTCAGAAGATTGATAAACACTACTTTACTTGCAATTTTCCAAAGGGATTGTCAATTGGAAAAATTTGCACTCGTTATATTATAGTAATAACTCATATAAGGCAACATGGGTCAGTGTGAGGATAAATCATCTTATGTCTATTACCTTGGTTTTATTTGTTCTGCCTCAGTGGGATGAGGTAAAAAAAAGGTGGAATTTGAATTTTTTTTTTAAGATTTTATTTGTTTATTTGACAGAAAGAGAGAGAGCACAAGCAGGGGGAGCTGCGGAGGGAGAGGGAGAAGCAGGCTTCCTGCTGAGCAGGGAGCCCAACTCAGGGTTCTATCCCAGAACCCTGACATCATGACCTAAGTCAAGTGCTTC